CTCTTTCTGGAAAAAAACAACACTAGCACCTCAATCTCTCTGGCATTTTCTGTGCACCTTTCATGTATTAAACGTCACACCACCCCTGATAGGAAAGAAGCTAACTGTTATCTCCCTTTTGCTTATGGAGAGATCAAGGTACAGTAGTGTCAAGAGATTTCTCTTGTTCTCTAAGTCATTACATGGCTGACATTTGCCCTGGGCAAATCATCATATGTCATTTCTGAGAGGCTGCTAAGACATGCTGCAGAGAGCTTTTCAGGGAGTCTGGTGCTAGCGAGAGATGCTGGGCTGATCATCCTGGAAATGGAATTTCTCCAGTTAGCCCTTCAGAAGTCAAGAATAACAAAGAATGGCCCGCTGCATAAGGCACTCGATTAACAATCAGGGGACCCTGTTTCTGTCCTACTGTGTCACCTTAGGAAAGTCACGGTGGCAAAGTAACAAAAATGGACACTACCTTGCCGAAGCATTTTTTGATCTGGGTTTGCAGATCAATGAGTCTCTCCATGGACATCAGTGGACTTTGGACATGGCCCTATAACAGTGAGGTGTTATGATCTTGAGAATTACCAGTATTCAGCCTTCTTAGTTCACTCTCTGTCTCTTCTTTTTATCAGCTTCATGATAGATAGATGCTCAGCTTTCTTGTTGACTAAAATACAACAAAGAAAACTGGGTATTAGTCCATCTATTCCTCTCTCTGCTTTCCAGCAGCTGTATGAAGGTATATCCAAAGTCGTCTCCCAGTCTTGGACTAGCTGGAGATTTTTTGATCCCTTACAGTCCAAATCTTCAAACCTAGATGCCTCAAGATAGGCTTCTAAATCTGTTTTTAGGTATCTAAATAAAAGAAGCTTGATTTTCAGAGAAGCTGAGCACCTACAAATCCCATTAAAGTCAATATTTTTAAAAAGGTTCCAGAGGCAATCATGGCCATTACAGGCCAATCACCCTAATTGCAATACCAGGCAAACTGATAGAAACTACAGTAAAAGCAGAACTACCAAACATACAGATAAACGTGATATGTTAACAAACCAGGCTTTTATAAAGGGAAATCATGTCTCGCCAATCTCTGAGAATTCTTTAAGGGTGCAGCAGGCATATAGAC